CTCTATGCTGATCTGAATGGAAAGTAGAGGGGGAAGAACAGAAATGTGTCTGTCTTGGGACCCAGGTTTTGATAAATCTTCTTTAATAAATGAAGTTATTAATTAAATAATATATCACCCTTTTGTTTCTCAGAATTACACAATTTACATTAAGATTCTTGACAGTTTGAAAATAGTTCACTGCTATCTTAAGGAATCTGTAGTCCTTGTGTGGGAAATCATATCAAAATGGAAGAAGATTGATTTAATTAAGTTGACCATGTGGGATTATATTGGGTGTGTGAGAAAAGGACAAAAGACATATTTTGTGGCTTTGGAAATATTGGTGGATTAGTGAATTTTTAAAAATCTTCATGGGAGGAGCACCTGGGTGGCTCAGTAGTTAAGCATCTGCCTTTGGCTATGGTAGTGATCCCTGGGTCCTGGGATTGAGCCCCGAGTTGGGTTCCCTGCTGGAAGGGGAATCTGCTACTCCCTCTCCAGCTCCCCCTGCTTGTGTTCCCTTTCTCGCTGACTCTCTTTGTCAAATAAATACATAAATAAATAATCTAAATTTTTTTTCACAGGAAATAATATATTTAAACCTGTTATTTTGAATTGTGTACTCTTGGTATAGCACCTACAATGTTGTGAATTTTGTTAAATATTAACGTGGCTGAAATACTTTAAAATTATATTTACCTTCATTTAGAAACTGTTCACAATTGTGCTTCTGGTCTTGATTGATGCCATTCCTTATTCATTGGCATTTTGTTTTGTTGATGAGCCAAAATTCCACCCTTGTTTTTCCTTAATTAATAACAATTATTATAATCTTAGAGGACACTCATTTACAGACTTTTTATTTTATGTTCCAGACACCCATCTAAGCATTTTACACATCTTATCTCTTTTAAGCCTCACAGAATTGTTATGAGGGAGACAATTTCATGATCCTGACCATATACATGGGGAAACTGAGGCACAGAGAAATTAAATTACTTGTCCAAATAGTATCTAACAAGCAGTGGAGAAAATCAGGGCTTTAGGGGCATTTACAATTTTAGTAATGTTACTAACCACTCCATATTTTAAGATGATTATAGAAAAGAAAAGGCTGTGTCTCAGTTTGGATGTGGTTTAGGTGTCATGAACTCATTCAGTGCCAACTTTGATTCTTTAAGTAGCCTTGGTAAAGTCATTGGAATTATTTTCCGGAGACTTACGGTTGTACAAATGATTTTTTTTTAAATTCTTTTTTTTTAAAAAGATTTTATTTATTTATTTGACAGACAGAGATGACAAGCAGGCAGAGAGGCAGGCAGAGAGAGAGAGGGGAGAAGCAGGCTCCCTGCTGAGCAGAGAGCCCGATGCAGGGCTCGATCCCAGGACCCTGGGATCATGACCTGAGCCGAAGGCAGAGGCTTTAACCCATTGAGCCACCCAGGCGCCCAGGCGCCCCTATACAAATGATTTTTTAAATGACTCTGATATTTCAGTTGCTTTCCTAGAGAATGGGAGAAGCAGTCTACTGTGTACCTCTCCTTGATAAGGACGTTTCAGATTTTTAAACTTATTTGGGTATAATTTCAAACTTACAGACAAGTTTCAAAAATAAAGGCAGCATTAAAAATACCCATGCAGGGGCGCCTGGGTGGCTCAGTGGGTTAAAGCCTCTGCCTTCAGCTCAGGTCATGGTCTCAGGGTCTTGGGATTGAGCCCCCGCATTGAGCTTTCTGCTCAGCGGGGAGCCTGCTTCCTCCTCTCTCCCTGCCTGCTTCTCTAACTACTTGTAATCTCTATCAAATAAATAAATAAAATCTTAAAAAAAAAAACCCATATATCCTTTTACTCAAATTCACTTATTGTTAACATTTTACTCTAATTCTTTTATCATTTGTGTGCTTTCTCAGAATATGTATGGGGAAAAAAGTGGTAATGTTATATATTTTTCCTAAATCCTTTAAGGGTAAGTTACATATTTTTTGGGCTTCTCCCTGTAATACCTTAGTGTGTATTTCCTAAGTACAAGGGTAGTCTCTTTTGTGACCACGTTACAGTAATAAATTTCAGTAAATTCAACATTGATTCAATACTTTAATCTATGGACAGTATTCTAATTTGTCAATTGGCTCATTAATGTTATTTATAACATTTTCCTTCTTGGGTACAGGATGCAGTCTAAGGCCACTTACTGCCTTTAGCTGTCACATTTGAGAATAATTCCAATTATGCCAGATTTTATTTCTGCTATAGTCTAGAAGCCATACCCATACAGTATGTAAAAATCTTAATTTAGGTGGACATCTCATGAAAATTAGACTTCTGATAGATTTTTTTCATTACTACTTGATATCTTATAATTTCTGATGATTAGGATGTAGTATTCTAGCTCCTAGCAATTGTTTCTATTATATTGTTTCTATTATATTGTATGCCTAAGTGAATTAGACTTTTTTTTAAAGACTTTTTGAATCATAGTTGAACTTCTAACAATAGCCTAATGATGTTGATCTAATTTTAATTTTAGGAGAGACTTCTATTTTTTGGTTCTAATTAATTGAATACAGAATTATTGGAAAAGTAGGGAACTCCGAGAAGGAAAATGAGGTACTGTCTAGTATGTAAGAGGAATGATTGATGTTGACAAATATTAAATAAAAATTTTTAAATAAATAATCAGGATGTTGTTTAAAAGGCAAGCTGTTGATTTTATCACTCCCTCTTGCTAAGACACCCATGGGTCCCTGTTAAATCTGACGTTTTTACTCTGGTTGTCAATGGCAGCTTTAAAATGTCTGTAGCATTCCAGGACAAAGTCACAAATCACCTCCAGGAAGGGCTGTGAAACTCTATCTGCCAGTTCTTTCCTTTCCCAAGAGCCCGTCCCTAGTGGCACACCAGTAGCTTCTGGGCACTGGAGAAGTTATGACCCTTGTCTTCCCCAGGGTTCGTGGCAGTCTGTCTTCTGCAACTCCATTCACCTTTCTCGGGGAAGCTGGGGCTGAAGGCTAACAAACTCTATGGGTACCCAATCATTAATTAAACTCCCTTCCCAAGAGACCCCTTTGCCTCCACCAAATTTGGTGACCACAGTTGAGAGCCAAGAGTCCCCTACAGTCATTTTTAATAGTTGTATTAGAGAGGGTTTTCAGAAAAGGGACAAAATTTTAAAAAGATCTTGGGTCATGGTTTTTGAAAGATTTTATCTAATGGTTGAGCAACGTTGGCAATATTGACTGTTCTTTGCTCTTTTCTCCCACATACCCAGTCCTCACTTCTTTGCATATTGACATTCCCTTGATATTTTTAATATACTTAGGCTATGAATTAGCACTCAATGAATTGAACATTTGTATTCTCTAGTTCTGCATTACTATGTATTACAGAGACTAGGTTCAATAGTGTGACTTGGCTCTAATGTAACCTGCAAAATATTGACACACATTCTCTAGTGTTATTACATAATCCCTATGAACGATGGAAGTCATTGTGGAAATCCAGTCTGCCTCTAGAATTCCAACCCTGTAATGCTTATTTCTGTAGTTGATATTCTGATTTCTAGAATGTGTTTGCTTGTCAAGTATTGGTCTATATTCACTTTTCCTTTGGTGTGCTTTGTTTTTTAAAGATCAAAGATCCATTTTATTTTCATGGAGGAAGATAAGGGTTCCCCTGGTTATGGAGAGGAGCTTACAAAAGAACTAAGATGATGGTGTTTTAAGGTATGCAAAGGTCCTGCAAAGGGGTGGCTGGACCTCAGATCCTTTTATTTTCAGACTCCACTGAAGTGATTTATAATTTACCTGACTTTGGAGCTTCTATTGTCCTGGCTCACTGAATTTTTCAGCAAATGTATCATAAACACTTAACTCAAAAGCCCAAACAACTTCCACATCATCAACAAGTGAGACCATTGGCTTTTTAAAATTTTTTTATTTTTTCACTCATCATTTATTTACAAATACACATTATAACTTTTATATACATTGCACATTTACATGGTAGAAAAGTACAAAACTATATATTTAAATGAATTTATATTTAACTTGCCATGTTTGAAAATATAAAATTGCATCAGAAAAAAGTATTATGAAAAGCAAGAAACTTGAACTGATAAAGCTTTGATATAACTTTTAGTGACACATTGTTTGAAAAAGAACTTATTGAAGAGGTACAGCAGACTAGCTAAAGGAAACACCTAACAAAAGGTTGAATGTATAGCATTCCCTTCCTTCAATCTCCAGATACCCATATCACTCAATTTCTTTGGATTTGTAACATCTTAAAAGTATATTATGAAAATTCTAACATTACTATCACCCTTTCTCTCACAAATCATGACAAGAGAACTGAACTAGGAGTTTCCTCAAAGATGTATCCTCTGTACCTTCTACTTGAGTCAGTTATAATGCCTTTTGGTCAGTCAAGATTCCTTGTAAACAAAACCCGAGGGATCATGTATGTACAGAACAGGCAGCAGAAAATCCAATAAATAAACATGACAGAAACTGACATGCAAGTTTGTTAAAGTGGAAAAGATTCTAACAATGGTGAGATGAGGGGAGACAGATGAGTGAGTGAATAGTAAGGAATGGACTTAAATGGTTTACAAGGAAAAAAAAAAAAGCTTTTACTTTACAAGCAAGAGACCTCACAATAAATAACAACTGCTCTTCCTTTCACGAATAAATTTCTTCAAAAACAAGGTGTACAGTCAACCAGACATTTTATGTATAAATTATAAAACATGACACAGTATAAATAAATGTCTACAAGTCTCAACTATGGGCCTCATCCAGTAGACCTCACAATGACTGCCTCTCCATGTCCAATGAGTAACAAGGTGGCCTGGGAGAGAGCTCTAGGACAAAGTCCTTTATGTATAGTTTTCCCCCCAAATAAATAAGCATACACTTATTTACAGTATGGACAATATATTTTTTTTCTTTTTTCTTCCCCCCCCAATTTTTTTTCTTTTTTCTTTCTTTCTTTTCTTTTTTCTTTTCTTTTTTTTTTTTTTTTGCCAAAGACTATGTCAACACTGAACATTGGTGGAGGGTTTACCACTCTAGAATGGAAGATATAGGAAAGCTGTAGTCCTGGTCTTCATCTTCCTCTTCTTCCTCGGTATCTTCCGAAATGGCTAGATGGGGGAATACAGGGGAGCTGTTGTTTAAATACGGACAACAACAGCGCAGAAGCAGCTCAGTGTATGTTTTCAAAGCCCTCTGATACAGCCATATTACAGCGTTGCATTTTTATGTGACTTGCAGTGAGATGCTTTGGTTTTGGCATCTGCTGTTATGCAATAAGTTTAAAATAATTTTTGTTTTAAACATAATCTATGAAGTCAAAAACTGCAGAAAGTTCTGAAGAATCAATGGCTCAGGTTTTACGGGCAGATTCCTGAAATTAGATAAAAAGCGCTCTTGTGTTCTAGGTATAACTGCTTTGGGTCCTTAATTCAGAGTTAGTAGAGGCAACTGCAAAAGCAGCAGCCCATGTGTGACCATATAAAGCTGTCTTTGAAAAAGAAAAAAAAAAACTTTTGAAGCAGTTAGTTTAGATTCAAGTGTTAATAAAGCAAACGGCAAAGCACATTACTAAAGCAAAAGAATTAGGGGCAAATGACTAGAAGTAAATTTTTAGAGGCAAGCCCGTTGATGATCATTGGACAAGTTCTAAAGCCAGGGAACATTCCAGGGAATTTTTCTGTGGACCACTGAATTCCTGGTGAAATTTAGCAGTTACCTAATTTAAACAGAAATGGGCTTCTATTGGAAGGTTTTCGTGCTTTTTAGGTCTCCGTTCCCTAGGGCTTGCCTGGGAAAGCCTCAAATTGCAGCAAGGTTAAAATTGCACTTACAGTTGCAAGATCCGGAGTGTTTTACTTCCAGCAGCACACCTGAGGAGCAGGCAGCTTCCTTCATGGCACACTCGCTGGCGTAAGTTGCATTGTCGCTGGCACACACAGGCTCCTCAGACTTACTCTCAGGGCACAGCTCATCGCAGAGGGAACACCGGCCTCTGCCAACCTTGAAATCCCATAAACACTTTTTTCCACCGGTGCACTGGATATCTTCACAGGACTTTGCTTCTAGGATATATATAATACGCCTGTGATGAGTAAATTGATTTCCCCTTTTCCCCATTTCTTCCTTTCTTTAGTCCTCTGTCAATAAATATAAACTCACTAATAGGATAATGGAGATATTATGCAAAAATGCTTGACTATAAAATTGAAACTCGAATGCACACGTTTCCTACGTACCACATTAGTACATGAAAATGGTATTTTTGGGGAACAGGTTATCACAGTATTCTGAAATTAAATATATATTTTATTATTTCCCACAAGTGGAATCTTTTGAAAAATAAAGAATTCCATCAGTTATTAGAATCTGGTAACAGATTTTAGGAACTGTTAAGCAATTATTTCTTGCTTCCAGCAAGTCTAGCACCTAAAATATGTGTAAAATTAAGTGAGTTCTAAGTTTTCTAGGACAGAAAATTGTTTCCTGTTTCTTGCTGGCCTTTCAACATATATGCCAGTGCTTCTGGAAGATAACGGTTTCCCTGAGGAATGCTGTGATTACAACAGTTTACCCAAACTGGACCGTATTTCTCTCTCTGGTGAAACTATGCATTATGGAGAGGCTTTGGGCTTATTTATTGATTAACTCCACAGTTTTAACACTACAACTAGCCTTTCTGATCCTATTTCCATTTTTTTCTTCCTTAATCCAGGATACCTACTGATACACTTTCCCTCATAGGCTAATCCAATCGATCTGCCCAGGAGGCAGGTAGCCTTTCTCAGGTGACAGGCACTGGAGTAGGTCACTCCATCGTTCCCACAGAGATACTGTTCAGAGGAGGTGGGCTCTGGGCAAATCCGGTTACATGTCACACAGTAGGCATTATTAGTCTGGTCTACCACGCACGTGGAGCTGCCTGGACAGAAAACATCCCGACATGTCTCTGAAATAAAGAGGGAAACATACATCAATGACAGGTACTTCCTGGCCCTTAGGCAGTGAGCATTTGGTATCATCAAGGAAATCATAAGAGGGAAGCACCCCGCTTTTCAAAAAAGCACTTTGGGAACCTTGTGGTTTTCAAGAGAAAAATCAATGACTCCAGGTCGATCCTCTCAATGTTCTTAAGAAGTCTTTGGAATATAAAAAAGGGTTACTTTATTTTGCATCATCATTACTGTTCAGCTCTTAGTGGGGACTATACCGTCCCCCAGGAGTCTTCCAGTGGGTCGGCCTCAGGCGGAAAGCTGGAGGAGGGGAGCCAGAGAGGACCTACTTTTACATTTGCCCTGGTACTGGACTTCCAGTTCCGGCTGCTCTTTACATCTGGCCTTGAGGAGCGCACACTCGTTGCGGTAGGTTTTCCCGTCCAGCCCACACACTGGGCCCTTCCAGGTGATGTTGGAACAATCTGGGGCACAGACGCAACGGGGTTTGTTCTTTTTGTTCATTCGGCACTTTTTCCCCGGGCCGCAGTCCACGTTCTCGCAGGTCTCTACGAGGTGGAAAGAGGCATGGATCAAAACCAGGGCCAGGCAGTATGCAAGTCAGCAAGGAGGGGTGCGAAGGCCTTGTACCATCCTGTGGCCAAGAGTTCGAACAGGAGGGGTCCAGCTCTCTCCTAAAAGTTGAGGAGGGGGTGGAGGCCTGGGGGACAGTGGTCTGCATCCTATTCCCAAATCTTTCTCAAATAGGAAGAGTGTGCTGGCTTCACCACCACACTTGGCTAGTAAGTCCAGGAACGTCTGGCAACGGTGTTTTGCCTGTAGTGTGTAACAGGCGAGATTCAACCAGAAAGGCTTCCAGGGGCTGGGGGAAGATAAAGGCAACGCAGGAACAAAACTCTCCTAGTCCCTAACCCCAGCTGGGCAATGGAGAAGATGAGGATAAGACGCCCTCTACTGAGGGCCTGCAAACTGGGGAGGAAGAGTCCTACCTTTACAGGGGATGCAGTTGGGGGCGCCCCCATTGAAAATCATCCACTTGAAGAGTGTGTTGTCATTTACATCCTCCTCCGTCCACGAGGTGCTGAGGCGGCCCGTGCTGCAGCACTCCTCCTTGCTCAGTTCTGTCTTGTATAGGACCTGGCAGCGGCCGTTCTTTGCTTGGCGGAGCCAGCAATTCCCAGCTGCGAGGAGACAGGGGTGGGAGGTGGGTGAGAGAGAGGCAGAGTAAGGGGGAGGGAGGCGGCGAGCTAGCGAGGGAAGGAGACCCAGCGGGGATGGGGAGGGAGTGAGTGTGGAGGAGTAGAGGGAGACGGGAGAGAAAAGAGAAAATAAATAAAAGGGAGTGAAGAGGTGGGGGAAAAGAGGGGGAAAAAGCCGGTTGAAGAGGTGGGAGGTGGGTGAGGGGGAAGCAAGGCGAGAACGTGAAGCCAGAGCGCCCCAGCCATATCAATGTCAGTTACCAGTGACCCAGACACAACACGTGCAGCTTGCATTGACTTTTACTAGACTGTTTACTTTTATTCGTCCCATTTCATAACCTGCAGCGACTCGAAGAGCAGATTAAAGAACCTGACAAAAACAGGATGCGACGGATGTTTTTACATGTCGGTTTCATGTAGGCGGTACGGGTATTATTTGTGACAGGGGTTAAGAAAGTAGGAGAACTTGAGAGAGAGGGAGAAAGGAAGAGAAAGAGAGACCGACACAGACACACACACAACAGGAACAGATCAAGCAAAAGGCACTGGAGAAAAATGAAAGCAAAAAAGCAACTGGGCCCTGCCCGGAGCTGCCCCGTGCGGCCTCGAGGCGCAGCCCGCCCGCCAGCCCGCCCGCCAGCCCGCCCGGCCCGTTTTGCAATCCGCCAGACCCAGAGGACGCCCGCGGCCACCGCGATCTTTCGAAATCTCCGAGGGCTGCTTTCCCCGGCGCCCACGTCCGCGGCACCCAGGCAGCGCCTCGCCCCGAAAGGCGGGTAACTCCAGAGTAGTGCTGTGCCGACGGCGAGGGGGCAGTGCCCAGGGGGACAGTTTACAACACACTCAAAACGTTAACGCTAAAGCAAGCAAAGTTACAGGTCTGTCTCCAGGAAAGTGTAGGGAAAAAAGAAAAGGGGTTGGCTTCCTACTATTTCACAGTAACATACATACACCTATCTCATACCTACCGAGAAATCTTTACAAGTAATTTTCCCTCCTTCCTTTCCCTTTTCATGTTAGGATTTTAGTCAGGAAGACTCCTTATGAATCATCTATATAATCTCAACAATAATTGGACCGCAAGCTGCTATTATAATTATTTAAAAAATTGTGCCCAAAGACTAATTGAAATAAATTTAATTAAAAACCCCCCAAACTTTAGAAATTTGCTCTTAATGCATCCCAGAATTTAAATAAGTTGTGAGCTCCTCGCTGTTCTACATAAAGTTAGTCGGAGGAATGAGACACAGAAAAAAAAAAAAAACTGTAAACTACTCAAAACACTCCGGGGTAAATTTTTTTTTTTTTTTTTTTTTTGCGGGGTTGGGGGGAGGGGGTTGGAAGAAGCACCCACTAGGCAGAAAGTTACCCTTCCCTCTAAAATTTTCAGCACCCACATCTCCAAGTTTGGGCAAAGTTGCTGAAACCACGTCCCCCAGCCACCAAAGAAATTTCAGTATCTCCCCCCCCATCCCCCAGTCATTTTTTAAAGTATCCAAAAGATGTAGGAGGGAAAGAGGTTAGATTTTAAATGGATCGACTTAAATCTCCAGGCTACTGATGCTTGTCCCCTTCTTCAGAGCCAAAACAGGGGAGATAACATCTAAACTCATTATGTCCAGAACTTGGAGCATCTAACCTAACTACTGAGAGAGATTCGAGCTTACTCCCTTTCCTTTTAAAGGATAACCGCGCTTCTAACTCGGCTGGCAGTCCTGAAGTGTCACTGCCTTCAGTTTTCCCACTCCGCTCCATCCTGGAGTCGCTAAGTTGGTCCAACATCTTCCGAGGCGGCGTTGCTTAGACCAGACTCCGTGCAGACGACAGCAAAGTACAAACCCCTGCCTGCAGCCGAGCCTCCCAGCGCATCCCCCTTCGCTTACCCTGGGCGCTGCGGTCCTCCATGAACTGGCAGAGCAGCAGCAGCAGGAGGCAAAGCCCGCCGGGCTGGTGCCTGGGACCGGCCATCCTGGGGGCAGACGCGGGGCGAGGAGCGCGGCGGCGCGGGGAGCGGGCGCGGCGGCGGGTGGCTCGGACGAGCGGCGCGCGTCGCAAAGGCGAGCGGCGGAGGGCGCAGCGATCCCGGCGCAGCCCCGCGCTCGCCGCCGGCCGCCCGCGCGATTCAATGGACGTCAGAAGCCGGGCGCAGCCGCGCTTTAAATCTAGACGGGGGTCTCCGCGGTTTGCGGTGGGCGGTCTCCCAGTGTGTGGGGCAGTGGGAGGGCGGCCGCGAGCAAGGGTGTGCGCGGCTCCTTGGGGGTGGGGAGCTTTTAAAAGTTCAGTGTGAATCAGGTGACATTTCCCACCTTCTGGAAACCCTTCCCAATTATCTGTTGGAGGTGCCCGAAATCAAAGCGACAGGAGGGGAATCGCCGAGTTCTTATTTGCGTAGGAGGGAGAGGGAGGGGGAAGGCGGAGGGGCGGGGGGTGGGGGCGACGCTTCGGGGGTGGGGAGTGGGGAAGAACACCCACTTCAAGTCCTGCACGCCGCCGCTCGCAGGCAACGCCGGCGCGCCCGGGGTGGCGGTTGTGTGTGTGTGTGTGTGTGTGTGTGTGTGTGTGAGTGTGAGAGGGGGGCGCGCTGGGGGCGCTGGAGGAGGCGGCGGCGGGCGGAGCGGGTGGGGAGGGGGGAAACCCGGTAGTTTGTCTCTGCTCCGCGGCTCCTCGGCTCCAGAAAGACTTTGCAAACGCCCCGAGAGTCCGGAGCTGCTGAAATAGCCCGCTCGCGGTCTGCTCGGAGCGCGCCGGCCCCGCCGCTTCGCCGGGGCGCGCGGCAGATTTAGGCCCCCGCAGCCCCGGCGCGGGACCGGCGAGGTTTTGTGTCTGGGTCTCTGCTCGCCTGACTTCGCGGCCGCCCCCAACCCAGAGCTGGGGCTGTGAAGCGCAGCCCCGGCGCCTTCCACCTTGGCTGGGAGGGGCTGAGACGCGGCCCTCGGTCTCGACGAGTCACAAGAAAAAAAAATGTTTAACACCTCAGGCCCAGCCCTCCCCCCCACCCCCCGTCACAGGCTCGCCCTCTCCCTTTCTTTTCTCCCCTTTCACTTCGCAGCGTCTGGAGTCGGAGCCTGGAGCGGGGGCGCCGACGTAGGCGGTCTGCCCCCCCTCCCCGGCTCGGAGACTCCCCAGTTTCTGTCCTGTGTGTCTCTGTCTCTCCCAGTCTCCTCGGCTCTCGCGCTCTCTCTCTCTCCCTCTCTCTCGGTTCGCGGAATAAAAAAGATTGCAACATCGATAATGAACTTCTGTAGCCTCAGTTTATTAAGCACAGTGCCTGGCATTCTTCGCTGAAAGTTGGCGGGTCTCTCATTTATAACATTTTTGGCACCGCTGAATGAAACTGAGGAGGCGATATTTCCTTTTATATAAAACGATTACTTCACGGAAAATGCTATATTGTTTATTCCAAAGCTGCCTTTTAAATTTCCATTCTTTTTGCTTCTGGAGCCCGAAGGACAACAGACAGCGAAGTATGCAGACAAAATTCTTGGACATTCGCAGGTCACTGGGATTTGTTCTTCTACGGATTTCAAATCCGTTCCTCTTCGCCCTCCCTCAAGCTCCCCCCCCGCCAGACCGCCCCCCCATTCCTCCTCTCGTCCTCCCACCCCCCATCTTCCATCACCCCCCCCTCCACAACTGCAAATAACTCAGTGATAACAGATTTTTTTCCACCAACTGCAGGAGATAGTGCTAATCTTTTAATAAAAGATCCCATTACAATGGGATCTGTCTGGACAGACTATAATAGATCCCGAAATACAGCCGTGCTAATATTAGAAGACAGTTGTTTGGGTGCCTCTCAGACGGGCCCAAGCCCCCCTTTGAAAGTGGGCATGAATCACAAAGCCCCGCGGCCGCCGCACCTGCACCGCGCGCATTCGGTGCAGCAGGCTGGTAAAAACGGGTGACCTCGCCGCTGCTTTTCGCTTTATAATTACCGTCCTAAGGACGGGAGAGGAGGGGTGCGGGCGGCCCGTGGGTGGGGGGCTGGCTTTTTGGTGACTTCAGACGGCTCTGGGGGCTCCACATCCTTCTTAATTTTTCCAGATTTATTCTTTCTCTCTCTCTTCCCTCTTCTCTCTTCCCTCCCGTCCGCCCACCACTTCTCTTTTCTCTTTCCCTCCCTTACCCCCAATCTGCTCAAACTCTCCCCCCTTCCCCCTCCCCTCTTTCTTTTCCCGTCTTCCTTTCTCTCTTCCCTCCAACGCAGCATTAATGTAGAGTTGTTTAGTGCCCTCTAATGGCAGACGACATTAACAATTAATAGCAAACTGTCCCCTTTGCAGGAGCCGCCACTCAATGGCAGAATTCCAAAGTTGAATTTATTTCTTCTTTATTCAGGGAGGTGGATATAGTGCTTGTATAGTAAAGTGTTGGAGGGAAAGTTTGTTTCCTACCCTCCAGGTCTTTTTCCCCAAGGAAAATGTCGAAGGAAAGGGGAAAGCTAAGTTACTGTTATTTGACTTTTTTATATGTGTAAAAATTTGCCTTTTAATAACTGCAAGAGGCGCAGCTTTTGTTTTAGCGAGGTTTACCAAACCATGTATCTAGGACTGGAAAATAAATTAGATATTCTAAATACATAAAAGATCTTAGGTGGTAGATGACTGGATCTTATGGCAGTGCTACCAATAGCCATTAAAAAAATTTAAGATCCAAACATGATTATATGAATTTATATTTGCCCCTGTTTAAATACATTTATTGGTCCTGAATCCACTGTAGCCCCTTAAAGCTTGGAAAATATAATTGTAATTAGATTTTTCACCCTAGGACCGTACAAAACATTTAAATTTTACCCATGCTTGGTTATATATGAAGTCATCTTGCTTAGAGGAATGCAGGGTCACGATTTAATCCATGGCTTATTTTCCCTGTACTTCTGGGAAGATGGTTTTAAAGGTCATAATTTCTTCATATTTTATAACATATACCAATGAAAATAGTGATGTAACTTGCATGTTCTTATTAGATTTAACTTGTTCAATTACATGTGCATATACAGCATGTAGTAGATATTGACGTAAAAATAGCATACAGATAGATACAATGTGACTTTTTTGGGGAGATCTGTGTGACTAAAGAAAAATTGGAATAGAGTCAGTTTTGGGGGGGTTAATAAAAATACCTGGAACTTTTATCAAAGGTGTTTGATTTATCTAAGTAATTATTTTAATTTATATATAGAGCGACAACTGGTGTCATAAGCATTTTCTAAATTAATTTAATCCAAGGTGTGTCTACACAATTCCGTATGTTGGGTAAAAAGTAAAAATTCTGTTTCTATTTTAATTTTTGTCTACATAATGTCAAATACTCAGCCTGGTCATTTGACTAGATCAACTGCATTGACTAATTGCTTTAGCATCATGTAATTGTCTAGGTTGGCCAAAGCAGACACAGTGGATCTCCTTGTAAAAAGTGCCACCTCTCATAGGAGTGCTCCAGTACCAGAGGCAGACCCAATACAGGATTACTTCTCGCCCCAGAGAGGGTGGCCCTACAGGTCAGGGTTGAGGTCACTGGCAAACACACTGTGGAAAACACAAATGCTGTGTTGCTTTTGCCCTTGTGAATAAGCAGCTTGGTGTTTGTTTAATGATACAAGCTCATCCTGTTTTTCAGCTGCACCTTGGATAGTATTGATCTGTTTGGGAGAATGTCTGCTCTGAATCGGCGCAGATCAGTCATTAGGACTCTTGTTGGCCTGGGTTATCTTCTGGCCAATTCAAGGAAATGAGACATAGGTCAATATTGGTTCCATATGGGCCTCCTGTGGGCATCAGCAAGAGATCCATCTAATTTCTGTGGTATGAAATGGTATCACACCTGTTCAATGCCATCACAGAAAAACAGCTGCTATTTTTTTTTTTTTTTTACTGTTTTATCTCCTGTAAATGTTAAATATTGGGTTTGTGGCGTCTAAATGTCATGGGGACATTTTAAAATAAAAATGCCTTCTTTCATTTTTGTTGTATGACTCTAAGTTTGACTTCTTATTTTTTTCCTTTCTGCTCTGCCAAAAAAGTAAATGTAAATTATGAGAAACACAATAGGACCACTTTGTAACGGACTTTCTGGGCAGCACACAAAAAGACTGCTGTTCTCTGATTATTTTTTTTGTCAGCTTCAAAAGCTGTCTTCCTTCTGAAGTTTATAAATTTAAAATATTAGAGTTTAGCAAATGATTCAATCTAGCTCCAAAGATAGCTATTTGAAATCATATAAAATTGTTGTTGGAGATCAGAACAGACCTGGTTAAATTTCAGTCTTTAAAAAGAGAATATGGAGGGGGTGGGATGAAGTTATGTATGGAAAACTTCGAAGTCATGAACTGAGTAGCTTTTACTTTTTCCCTTAAAATTAGATGTTCAAGTTTTTTGAAGTTAGGTGTTTTGCAAAATGAATATTAAGATTTCAAATGCAAATAAACAAAGAACTTAAGCACTTGATAAATAGGCTGAAATGGTTTTAAAATCAGATTTTGTTCTTCTAGGTACAAAAACAGCTACTTAATGCGTCATGGCCTCTGGATTGTGCAACTTCATAGGCTAGAATGAGGATTTGAGGTGGTGTGGGGGGGTAATGGTTCTGTATTGGCCGAATTGTTGCAGAACTAAAAAGTTAAGAAATGTGAGTACATAAAAGCAATGTTTGTCCAAGATGTCCAAACCAATTGAGTTTTTTAAAAAGTCATTAGAATGTATGTTTTTTATATAAGACTGAGAAAACAATTGATTACCTGAAATTTTCTCTTTTCAGTGTTGTTTTGATGTTATGTAGAGCCAGTCAATCATGGACAGCCCTTTCTCTCTGGTACTACTTGTTTTTATATATATAACATTTTTTTAAAAGAATTTTATTTTTTTTCTTAAGTAATCTCTACACCCAACATGGGGCTTGAACTCACAAACCTGAGATCAAGATTTGCAAGTTCCACTGACTGAGCCTCAGGCATGCGTGGCTCTGTA